ACTATGTCATCCTCCACAGAGTGTCGTGGTGTCACAGCTCACAACAACCTCAAACTCTTGGGCTTAAGCGATTCTCTTGCCTCAAGCCTCCCAAGTAGCTGAGACTACAGGTGCCTGCCACAATGCCCAGCTATTTTGTTATTATTTTTGTAGTTGTCATGGGTTTGAACCCACAACCCTGGTATATGTAGCCGGTGCCCTAGCTGCTGAGCTACAGGCACTGAGCCAAGAAACTATTATTAATATATGAGAGTTTCAATAGCTGCATATCTTCAGCAATAAATAATATTGTAGATCTTTTTAAGTTTAGCCATTCTGGAGGCGTTCAGTGTTTTCTCACTGTCACCTAATGGTGAATGACATTGAACATCTTTTCATATGTTTACTGGCCATCAGTTATACATAGTGCCAATATTTTTCCTAGTCTATAGCTTACCTTTTAATTTTGTTTTCACTGCCTTTGGAAGGTCACCAGCTTGTAATTTTGTTGAAATTCGCCTTGTCTTATTATTATTATTATTATTATTATTATTTTGAGACAGTTTCACTTATTAACCCTCAGTAGAGTGCTGTGGCATCACAGCTCACAGCAACCTCCGACTCCTTGGGCTTAGGCGATTCTCTTGCCTCAGCCTCCCAAGTAGCTGGAACTACAGGCGCCCACTACAACACCCGGCTATTTTTTTGTTGCAGTTTGGCCAGGGCTGGATTTGAACCCACCACCCTTGGTATATGGGGCCGGCACCCTACCCACTGAACCACAGGCACTGCCCTCACCTTGTCTTTTTTAATGATTCATGTTTTTTGTGTCCTAAGAAATCTTTGCCAACCACAATGTTATGGCGATAGTCATCCAGTTTTGTTTTGAAACTTTATGGTTTTTATCTTTCCTTTTAGGATAAGTGTCATTTCAATTAATTTTTGTTTATGGCATAAGGTAGGGGTGAAGGTTAACTTTTGTCTTACATTGTGATCCATTTGTTCCAACACCATTTATTATAAGCACTTTTCTTTCTCCATAGAATTGTGTTGGTATCAATGTTGTGTTTCTAACATTTAAAATGTAGCTCCTCAGTTGCACTAGCCACATTTTAACTACTCAAGAGCAACAGATGGCTTCTGGCTATCCTATCAGTCAGCACAGATATAAAATATTTCCACCACTGCAGAAAGTTCTACGGGATAGCACTGCTATAGACTTTAGGAAATAGCATCCAATAAATATTTTGGATTCTTCAAAAGGCATTCTCAGCCAAATAACACAGTAATGGCAGATATAAGGAAGTGAAAAATAAGTCACTGAACTTATATGATGTACGTAGGGTAGTCAAAGTCACAGAGAAAGAATCTTGTTTACCAGAAGTTGGGGGAATTATTATTTAACAGGTACAGATTTTCAGTTTTGTGAGATAAAAAGAGTTCTGAAGATGGATGGTGGTGATGGTTTAAAACAATATACCCAATGGGAAAAGACTTTAAATGGAAAATTTAATGTTATGTATATTTTACCTATATAAAAAAGTTTTTAAAAATGTAATGTTCATACTTTTAATCATTAGGTTATGGTAACTCATGCCAAATTAGCAGCAGGAACATTCATTGGTTTTTAAATAAAAATTCTCATTAAAAAAAAATCTCCGGGCTCAGCGCCTGTGGCTCAAGCGGCTAAGGCGCTAGCCACATACACCTAAGGTGGCGGGTTCAAATCCAGCCCGGGCTCGCCAAACAACATGGCTGCAACCAAAAAATAGCCGGGCGTTGTGGTGGGCGCCTGTGGTCCCAGCTACTTGGGAGGCTGAGGCAGGAGACTCGCTTGAGCCCAGGAGTTGGAGGTTGCTGTGAGCAGTGAAGCCATGGCACTCTACCCAGGGGCTCAGCTTGAGGCTCTGTCTCAAAAAAAAAAAAAAATCTCGGGATGGTGCCCCCCGGAGCTGCCATGTCCGAGGCCCAGAGCCCCCACTGCTGTATCCATGGTATCAATAATTAACATTGTGGACTCCTTCCATGATCATCGTGATATGATTCACAATGCCCAGATGGACTACGATGGCACCTGCCTGGCAACCTGTTCATCAGACAGGTCCATCAAAATCTTCGATGTGCTCCATGAGGGGCAGATCCTCATCGCTGACTCAGAGGTCATGAGGGTCCTGTGTGGCAAGTGGCCTTGGCCACCCCACGTATGGCAATATCCTGACATCCTGCTTTTATGACCACAAAGTCATTATCTGGAAAGAGGAAAATGGCACCTGGGAGAAGACCCATGAGCACTCAGGACATAACTCCTCAGTAAACGCTGTGTGCTGGGTCCCCCAGGACTATGGCCTGATCCTAGCCTGTGGAAGCTCCGATAGGGCTAACTCCTTGGTGACCTACACTGGGGAAGGCCAATGGGAAGTGAAGACGACCAGTAGTAATGCTCACACTATTGGCTGCAATGCTGGTAATTGGGCCCCGCTGTTGTACCTAGAGCAGCCATCAGGACAGAAACCCAATTACATCCAGAAGTTTGCCTCAGGTGGCTGTGACAACCTCATCAAGCTGTGGAAAGAGGATGAGGATGACCAGTGGAAGGGGGAACAGAAGCTGGAAGCACACAGTGACTCAGTCCGAGATGTGGCCTGGGCCCCCTCCATTGGCCTGCCCACCAGCACCATCGCCAGCTGCTCCCAGGATGGTCATGTGTTTATCTGGACCTGTGACCATTCATCAGGCAACACGTGGTCCCCCAAATTGCTGCACAAGTTCAATGATGTGTGGCATGTGAGCTGGTCCATCACAGCTAACATTCTGGCCATCTCTGGCAGGGACAATAAGGTGACCTTGTGGAAAGAGTCTGTGCATCAGTGCTGTCAACAAAGGCCAGGGCTCCGTATCAGCTTCAGTCACAGAGGGCCAGCAGAACAAGCAGTGACCAGACAGGTAGGGCCAGGCTCCCCCACCTGCCAGCTCCAGGACTGCCCCTACCTGGGCCAACTGACCAAACAACTGGGAAGAGCTCCCAACTCCTACAAGATTATTTTCCAAGGAATAGTTACAAATGCCACAGTTTGATCATCTGCCTTAACATGATTTCATATGGTATATGAATCTACTGTCCAGCTGAAAGTACTCACAAAGAAGAAACTACAAATGATCCTCAAATCTATTATTTTAAAATATTTTTCATCATTTTTATGTACCTTTGGGTTCAGGCATTATTGGGGGATGGATGTTTCCAAAGTCATGTTGCTTTAAAAAATAATAATAATAGGGCAGAGCTGTGGCTCAAAGGAGTAGGGTGCTGACCCCATATGCTGGAGGTGGCGGGTTCAAACCCAGCCCCAGCCAAAAAAAACTGCAAAAAATAATAATAATAAAAATCTCTAATCCTTGATTTTGATGATTTAACAGACAATGTTGAACAGTACATTTATGGATAAAAAGACTTTTTTAAAGTATAGGTTGTACTTTATTAGTTCAAGGAATGTCAAGGCATTTATGAATGCCCAACTGTGCTTTCCCAGGCACAGTGGCTCACTGTAATCCTAGCACTTTGGAAGGCCAAGGCGGGTGGATTGCCTAAGCTCAAGAGTTGGAGGTTGCTGTGAGCTATCATGATGCCACAGCACTCTACCCAGGTCCACAGCTTGAGACTCTGTCTCAAAAAAAAAAAAAAAAAAAAAAAAGGAATCGTGTGCTTTTGTACAGTACAAAGTCTGTTGAAATATTTTGAATTAAAATTCTTAAAATCCCTTAATAAAGGCAAATGCAGTATTCAATTTATAAAAAGGCAGTAACAGTAGCTGTGTTAGATGACTTGAAAACACTCCTATTAAAAGACTTAACCGAAGGATGGCGCCTGTGGCTCCGTGAGTAGGGTGCTGGCCCCAGATACCAACGGTGATGGGTTCAAACCCAGCCCTGGCCAAACCGCAACAAAAAAATAGCCGGGCATGTTGTCGCTGGCGCCTACAGTACCAGCTACTCGGGAGACTGAGGCAAAAGAATCACCTAAGCCCAGGAGTTAAAGGTTGCTGTGAGCTGTGACGCCACGACCCTCTACCGAGGGTTAATAAGTGAAACTCTGTCTCAAAAAAAAAAAAAAGACTTACTGAAGTACTGTGAGCCTTTTCAAGTTTGTTGAAAATAGTTTTGCTCCCCGGGGAGGAAATGTTGACTTGGTGAGAGCAGCAAACCTATTTTTATAGTATATGCCTGCTTGCATATTTAAGGCCTTTTTTAAAAATTTGAGACAGAGTCTCACTCTGCTGCCCCAAGCTAGAATGCCTTGGCGTCAGCCTAGCTCACAGTAACCTCAATCTTCTGAGCTCAAGCAGTCTTCCTGCCTCAGCATCCCCAGTAGCTGGGACTACAGGTGCCCACCACTGCTCCAGCTTAGGCCATCTATTAATATTGTTCTCTAGGACCTTAGCTTAGTCATCTAATACCTCCTACTGGTCGTATGGACCTTGTTTAATATTGAAAATGTTAATACCCTTCAGACCTTTCAAAAGAAAAAAATATGAAACACTGCAAATTAATTTGCAGGTTTTTAAAGGCTCTTCGTTTCAAATTAGTATGCCACTGACTTGTCATGAATTCTACAAAAAAGGCTAACAATTATAGACTGTATTCTAAGCATGATGTATCACTTTATTAATCTAATAAGAAAATATGTATCAGAGTCCTAAATAATTTATATTATTCGATATTCACACAACCCTATGAATTATTAACCCCATTTTGCTAAGAAAACTTTTCAGAGAAAAGTCACAGAAGTAATGAATAAAATATAACACGGGGTTTCTACTGTGGGCTTCTAAACCAATATTCTCAACCATCAAACCCAAGACATGAACGCTTGCTAGTTCCGTGAGGTAAGATAACGCAGTCAACGACGAGAAAGCTCGCGATACTTCGCTAACTCCCACTCCCAACACGCAAAGCGGCTCTGGCTCTGCCCGCAGTCCGCAGAGCCCCAGCCTGCCTCGAGGCGCGAAAGGCAGCCTGGGAGCGGTAGTTCTTTCAGACGCCTACCGGTTTCGCCAGCGCGGCAGTGGCTGCTCTCTCGGCTCCAGACAGCGGGTCCGGTCAGGGCAGGCAGAGGCGGAGAAAGGGCGCGGAACTGGAGCGGGTGAGTCAGGCACTGTCTACGTGATAAAGGGAGGCGGTGCCGCGGCGTAGGGCTGAATTAAGTGAGTGCGGCCCGTGCCGCGGTCCGGTCCGCGACGCCGCTGCCTTAGCGTCAGCGAGGGAAGGGTGAGGAGCCAGAGCCGGGTCTCCGCCGCCGTTCTTGTCCTCAGCTCCCCGCCGCCATCTCCACCATGCAATCTCGGGAAGACGCCCCGCGCACACGCCGCCTGGCTAGTCCCCGCGGCGTGAGGCGGCCCAAGAGGATTTCTAAGCCCTCGGTTTCGGCCTTTTTCACGGGCCCAGAAGAATTAAAGGACTCAGCTCATTCTGCAGCTTTGCTGGCACAGCTCAAGTCCTTCTACGACGCGCGGCTGCTGTGTGATGTGACCATCGAGGTGGTGACGCCAGGCAGCGGGCCTGGCACAGGTCGCCTGTTTTCCTGCAATCGCAACGTGCTGGCAGCCGCGTGTCCCTACTTCAAGAGCATGTTCACGGGAGGCATGTACGAGAGCCAGCAGGCAAGCGTGACCATGCACGATGTGGACGCCGAGTCCTTCGAGGTGTTGGTCGACTACTGCTACACAGGTCGTGTGTCCCTGAGTGAGGCCAACGTGCAGCGCCTGTACGCAGCCTCCGACATGCTCCAGCTGGAGTATGTGCGGGAAGCCTGTGCCTCGTTCTTAGCCCGCCGCCTTGACCTGGCCAACTGCACTGCCATCCTCAAATTTGCCGACGCCTTTGACCATCATAAGCTACGGTCTCAGGCTCAGTCCTTCATTGCTCACAACTTCAAGCAGCTGAGTCGGATGGGTTCGATTCGGGAGGAGACTCTAGCAGATCTGACCCTGGCCCAGCTGCTGGCCGTCCTGCGCCTGGATAGTCTGGACATAGAAAGTGAGCGGACTGTGTGTCACGTGGCCATGCAGTGGCTGGAGGCTGCCCCCAAAGAGCGGGGTCCCAGTGCCGCAGACGTGTTCAAGTGTGTCCGCTGGGCTCACTTCACAGAAGAGGATCAGGACTATCTGCAAGGGCTGCTGACCAAGCCCATCGTGAAGAAGTACTGCCTGGACATTATCCAAGGAGCCCTACAGATGCGTTATGGTGACATGCTGTATAAGTCTCTGGTGCCAAAGCCAAACAGCAGCAGCAGCAGCAGTAGCAGCAGCAGCAGCAGCAGCAGCAGCAGCTCTGTTGTATCTGCAATAGAAAATCCACCCCAGAGGCTAGGTATGTGTGCCAAGGAAATGGTGATCTTTTTTGGACATCCCAGAGATCCCTTTCTCTGCTATGACCCATACTCAGGGGACATTTACACAATGCCTTCACCTTTGACCAGCTTGGCTCACACTAAAACTATCACCTCTTCAGCTGTCTGTGTCTCTCCAGACCATGACATATATCTAGCAGCTCAGCCCAGAAAAGACCTCTGGGTGTACAAACCAGCCCAGAATAGTTGGCAACAGCTTGCAGACCGCTTGCTGTGTCGTGAGGGCATGGATGTGGCATACCTCAATGGCTACATTTATATTTTGGGTGGGAGAGACCCTATTACAGGTGTTAAATTGAAGGAAGTGGAATGCTATAGTGTTCAGAGGAACCAGTGGGCACTGGTGGCTCCTGTACCCCATTCCTTCTATTCCTTTGAACTAATAGTGGTTCAGAACTATCTTTATGCTGTCAACAGTAAGCGCATGCTCTGCTATGATCCTAGCCACAATATGTGGCTGAACTGTGCTTCTCTTAAACGCAGTGACTTTCAGGAAGCATGTGTCTTTAATGATGAGATCTACTGCATCTGTGACATCCCAGTCATGAAGGTCTACAACCCAGCAAGGGGAGAATGGAGGCGGATTAGTAATATTCCCTTGGACTCAGAGACTCACAACTATCAGATCGTCAATCATGACCAAAAGTTGCTCCTCATCGCTTCTACAACTCCACAATGGAAAAAGAACCGGGTGTCTGTGTATGAGTATGATACTAGGGAAGACCAGTGGATTAATATAGGTATCATGTTAGGCCTTTTACAGTTTGACTCTGGGTATATTTGCCTCTGTGCTCGTGTTTATCCTTCCTGCCTTGAACCTGGTCAGAGTTTCATCACTGAGGAAGATGATGCACGGAGTGAGTCTAGTACTGAATGGGACTTAGATGGATTCAGTGAGCTGGACTCTGAGTCAGGAAGTTCGAGTTCTTTTTCTGATGATGAAGTCTGGGTGCAAGTAGCACCTCAGAGAAATGCACAGAATCAGCAGGGTTCTTTGTAAATAGTATTTTGAAACACTAAGATGTCTCTACTGCTATAGAATGTATCTTAAAAAGATATCCCTTTTTTCCCCTGGGGAAACAAAAAGTTGATTAGGACCACAGATTTGGTTTAGCAAGGGTAATATTTTGAAATGATATGAAATATAAACACCCCATGAAATCAGCCTATTTAGTAATTTCCTGTGCTAAAAGTCCAGAATTAAAGTATGCAAAAATGAACTATATTTGATTAGGATGCTTTGTTTTTTTTCCTTTGTTAAGATACTCATTGTGTGGGTGGGTTTTATTTGGTGTTTAGATTTTTGGTTTTATAATTTAGTATTCTGTTAATTTCTAAATTTTGTTTAGTGCCACAGGAATTTTCCTTTGTAATTTGTATGATAGAAAACTGGACTAGGAATTGTTGGTAGAGTTTTGAAGGTATATATTTTCCTTCAGATTAATGAAAGTAGATTTCCAAAGTTTTAAGCTAGTTAAGTTTTTAAAATTCTAAGTTAAATATACTTTGTTAAAATTTAGGAGAAAAAAGGATATTTATATATTAAGGTTACTGAATAGTGATTTCATTCTAATAATGTGTAGAATGGCCTTACAAGTTAATAGGATTAAAAACAAAATCAGGATTCTGCTGTTTTAAAAGAAATTTCAGTTTTTTGGAATGTGAAATGTTTATTTGCTAAATGTGACTAATTTTCTATATAAACAAGAAACATCTGTTCTTAGTGCCACCAATTATTTAAACACCCTTCTAAACCAAAAAATATATATATATATGAACTTGTTCTCCAAGTTCATATTTTTGATCTGTGCTTGATACTTGCTTCGTGAGTCAGAGGAATAATTTTTTTCCTACTAGGCAAAGGTTTATTTCCTTCCCTAGAACATTTTGGCTGTATAGTTTTGGTGTTCATCCTAGAGGACTCTTCAGCAGAAAGTGATTTTTCTTTACTGTTTTTGTGAGGTAATATTGATTTTGAAAATATGTATAAGCTAAAAACAGTATTTTATTGAGACCAGTAGTAATTGTGTCTATCAACTATAAAAATCAAGTGCCAGCAAAGAACTTTAAATCTTTAAGCTATGTATAGAACTGTTTTGTGTAGCATTGAAATGTTCTGTCAGTTTTGTAAGTCACTGTAAATGTTCTTGATAGCAGCTTGAAGGTATTTTTGTATTAAAAGTTGACCAGGTAAAGAACACCAGTGGATGATGGCATCTGGGGCCAGTAGTGAAAGTGTATTTCCTCTAAAATATTCCCCTAAGCAGTGGTGTACATGGTTATTTTATTATGGTATTAGTAGTATATGTTCTGTTTCTCTGTGAACCATGCTCCAGTCCTTGTTTGTTTTTGTCACCGTATATTTGGGAAGTCCATTAATAGATACTAAATTGCACATAACTAACATTGTTAAATACAAGAAAATATAGGTGCTTACATTTGAAGGTTTATTAATACATGTAGTTGTCTTAACACATATATGATAAATGATGTACATATACAGATGTTTCTGGTGTTTACATTTTTATATACCCATATAGAATTATCTTCCTGAATCTTTGTTCGATAACATGCTAATTCCTCTTCTATGTTTATTCTCTAGTGACAGAATGCTAACATTTCTTACCTTGGTAGAGGACAGAGGAGGCTGATCTGAGGTGGGGAACTGAATTTTTGAATGAGAAAAGGATAAAGAAACAAAAAAACCCACAAATAATGTTTTCTTAGCCATTTCAATAAGTCTACAAGACATTCCTATTTAACATCATTTCTAGTGAAATAAGATGTCTGCCCTACTAGTATATGTTTCTTCAAAAGGGTAAACATGTTTTAGTGGCCTAAGGCTAATTTTTATTCCATTTGACACTAGGGAGATTATAAGCACTCCTCTTTAACATGAGAAGGCTATTTTCCCCATATTTTTGTTTTGGGGTCAACTTTACCATTAACTTTTTGTTGAAATGATAGCTTTTTGTTCTGTAAGATTGAAACATGACAATACTTAACCAGATTACCCATCTACAGAATAAAGGTATTCAACTAATGTATGAAAGGTAAATTCTTCAATTTGTCATTCTTAACTGTTTAGGTAAAGCCTAGGCTAGTAGGAACGTCTTGATTTACGATGAGGTTTTCTTGGTAAGGATTTTGGTTTTGTGATCTATTTGTGTATTAGGGAGTAAATATTAATCATTATTTTACAGATAAGTGATTTGTATGTGGTTAGTTATAAATAAAACTGGTACTAGAACCCAGGCTTCCTGACTTTCTAATTCACTGGTTCTGCTAAATGTATAAAAGTCCTTTTGCACAGTGAGTGACACAATTAGCAGTGTTGTAATGTCTCTTTGATAAGAAAGCACCTTTGTCTCAGTTTTCCAATTAGACTTTTTTTTTTTTTGAGACAGAGTCTCACTATGCCGTCCTGGTAGAGTGCCGTGGTGCCACAGTTCACAGCAACCTCAAACTCTTGGGCTCAAGCGATTCTCTTGCCTCAGCCTCCCAAGTAGCCAGCTATCTTTTTTGTTGCACTTGTCATTTAGCTGGCCTGGGCCAGGTTTGAACCCGCCATCCTGGGTGTATGTGGTCAACGCCCTACCCACTGAGCTACAGGCACCACCAGAATTCACATCTTTTGATGAACACATATATCTTGCTATAGATAAAACATTGAAAAATCAGGCAGCACCTGTGGCTCAAAGGAGTAGGGCACCAGCCCCATATGCTAGAGGTGGCAAATTCAAACCCAGCCCTGGCCAAAAACTGCAAAAAAAAAAAAAAAAGAAAAAGAAAAATCAATATAGATGATTTTCATTTTGCTTTGAAGTAAATATGACAAAGCTATGTTAAATTCTTAGGTATAGCATGCTGAGGCCATATTTTATGAAGAGTATCTTGAAATTTTTTCAGAAAGAATATTAGACATCAGAATATTTAATTTTTATTTTTAGTTACATGAAGGTTAAGAAATATACTGTAGTCAGTTTTAACTAAATTCTAGCATGTTACAGAGTATCTTATGACTTTGTCTTGTCCAGCTTATTCCAGGATCAGTCATACCTATATTTGTAGAAACACCTATATTGTGTAGTTCTATTTTTTGTGTGTGTGCAATTTTATTTTACTTTTCTAGAGACAAGGTCTCCTTTGTTGCCAAGGCTGGAGAGCAGTGGCACACAAATAGCTCACTAAAGCCTCAAACTCGGGGGCATGAGCAATCAATCCTTCCTCCTCAGCCTCTAAGAGTAGCAGGGACTGCAGGTTTGCACCACCACACCTGGCTAATTTTTCTTGTTTCAGAGATAGGGTCTGGCTATGTTGCTCAGGCTGGTCTGGAACTCCTGGCCTCAACCAATCCTCCACCTCAGCACCCCCATTGCCGGCATGAATTTTTTTAGGAGGGAGGGGCCTCACAAAAGGCTACATACTGAAATTCTAACATTTTTCATGCCTGAATCATTTTTGCAGTGGTATGTGAATGTAATCCCCTTTGATTTAACCTCAACTCATTAGCTGTAATAATCTATTCAGAACTTAATTGCTCATTCAGTTCTTTTGCTGAATTTATGTTAATCAGAATATCCCAATATATTCAAGCTATACCTACAGTAGCATTTTGTGTATTTGTAAAAACCTCAGAACAGCTGCCCTATAGTATTTTGAATAACTGCTTCTGTCAGTTATGTGATACAAATTTTTTTTGAGACAGAGTCTCACTCCTTTGCCCTTGGTAGAGTGCTGTAGCATCACAGCTCACAGCAACCTCAAATTCTTGGGCTCAAGTGATGCTCTTGCCTCAACCTCCCAAGTAGCTGGGACTACAGGTGCCCACCACAATGCCCAGACTTTTTTTAGAGGTGGGGGTCTTGCTCCAGCTCAGGCTGGTCTTGAACATAGGAATTCAGGCAATCCACCTGCCTAAGCCTCCCAAGTGCTAGGATTATAGGTGTGACCACCACGCCTTTTCCTGCTTTATAAAAATTTTATTCTGAGGCTAGGCACAATGGCTCACACATCTAATGCCAGCACTTTGGGAGGCCATGGCAGGAGGGTCACCTGGGGTCAGGAGAGACCAGCCTGGGCTACATAGTGAGAATCCATATCAAGAAAAAATTTGAAAAAACAATTAGCTAGTCATGGTACAGAGAATCACTTGAGCCCAGAAGTTGGAGGCTGAAGTGAGCTACTGTCATGCTACTGCGGTCCATCCCAGGCAACAGAGAGACTGAAAAAAGAAACTTTTAAAAATTTTGAGATTATTGTAGATTCACATGTGGGTCATATGAAATAATATGGAAAAATCCCATATACCTCCACTTTGTTTTTTCCAATGGTAACATCTTGCACAACTATAGTAAAATAGCACAACCAAGAAACTGACATTGATATAAATAACTGACATTCATATTTTACCAACTTTACATGTATGCATTTGCCTGTGTATATTTAATTTTAAGAAATTTAATCATGTACAGAAGATTTATGAGAATACCAGTACGGCGGTCAATATACAAATCAAGAATACAAGTCAAGGGTGGTGCCTGTGGCTCAGTGAGTAGGTTCAAACCAGTGGTAGGTTCAAACCTGGCCTTGGCCAAACTGCAACAAAAAATAGCCTGGTGTTGTGGCAGGCGCCTGTGGTCCCAGCTACTCAGGAGGCTGAGGCAAGAGAATCACCTAAGCCCAAGAGCTGGAGATTGCTGTGAGCTGTGACACCACAGAACTCTACCAAGGGCGACAAAGTGAGATGCTGTCTCTTAAAATAAAAAAAAAAAAAAAACATACAAGTCAAGAAGAAAAAGTTCTATCACAAATATCCCTTGTGCAATGCTTTAATACCCACAGCCTTTTCCCTTCTCACTTTCTTAACCTTTGTCAACCTCTAAGCTGTAATTCACTCCTGTAATTTTGTCATTTAAAGAGTGTTAACATAAACAGAATCATACAGTATATGACGACCTTTTGAAATCTTTTTCTGCTTAGCACAACTCTCTTGAGATTTATCCAAGTTATTGAGTGTATCAGTTCCAAATGGTACAGTAACAACCTCCTAAAAAAATCTGCTCCTCCCTGGATGAGAACACTTGCAAAAACTGTTGAAATAAACTTATTCAAACTCTGGAAATTAATGCAACATTCCAAGGAGTGCTTATCTAAGAAAAACACTTGAATCTCTGTAAGACCCTGTGGCTCAAGGACTAGGGCACCAGCTCCATATCCATATACCGGAGGTGGTGGGTACAAACCTGGCCCCCACCCAAAAACTGCAAAAAAGAAAAGAAAAGAAACCCTATGACTTGCTCTAATCTTTTACACCTTTCCTCAGGTCCAAGGAGGGTTTGAAATGCAACAGCTTCACTTCTGTAGCAGCTGTAAAAAACAGCAGCTTAGCAGCCACACAAGAAGGCAGAATAAATTTGGAATTCCCTAATAGTCCCATTCCCAAAGAATTGTAATTAGTTGATCTGTCTGACAGCTCACTAGAAATCTCAATTATTATGTTTCATTATTTGAGCTATTTCAGAGTACCCTCTGCGCAAACAGCTTGATGTACAAGGTATTTTATATACATAAAAAAAGTGATATAATTTAAAAAAACAGATAA